CGGCACCCCGGGGCGCATGCGTGGGTGGCCCCCCCTTCTCCTCCTCCTCCTCCCCCCTTAGGCGGCCAGGCCGACCTCGTTGCGGAGCGGGTCCATCTTGTAGACGGCCTGGAGCTGGTTGCGGAGCCTCATCGCGATCGCCATCGGGCCCCCCGGAGGAGGGGGAGACGCCATCTTGGGGCCGCCCCGCGCACTTCCGGGTTCGGAGGCCCCGCCCCCCCGCCGCCGCCGCGGCGGCGGCAACTACCGCTCCCGTCGCGCCTCGGGGCGGAGCAGGGGGCGGCCGCCGCCAGGAAGGAGCGCGGGGCACCATGGGAGCCGTAGTCCCTGGCCGGCCGCGGCCTTCCTCGCAGCAGGGGGTGGGGGTGGGGCTGCGCTCCCTTCGGAAGCCACCAGCCACGGCCGCGGGTCCTCCTCGGCGCTTCGGAATAAACAAAGCGGGTGGGGCTCGAAACTGCACCCAAAAGCCAGGCCGCGCCTCCCTCTGAGCGGTGGAGCTGAAGAGGACTGAGGCTGAGAGGCGGTGGCCGATCAGCGCACCCTTTTATTTCAAGTTAAGAGAACAAGAGAAGGTTACTGGCTGGCAGGCAGGCCGGCTTCCATCCCCAGTGCACCCCACACCCAAAACACACACACCCCACACACCAACACACACACACACACCAGTGATAGGATCTGCTGGGGGCCTTTCTCCTTGTTGGGGGCCCCAGAGGCTTGTGTTATTCTCCAGTCTGTTCTCACAACAACAACCACAGCAACCGCCCTGTGAGGGAGCCAGTGAGTCTGAGGGGGCGTGAGTGGCCCGAGGTCACCCAGCAAGACACCATCGGGGCTCGGATGTTCCGACCGCTTTGGGCCCTGCGCCTCCCACCATCATCCTGAAGTGCATGGCCAGTTTTGAGACGCCTGGTCGTTTTTAGTGATGAGGTATGCCTGCCTCAGAAAGTGCACAAACAGATCCTTTTATTATGATAGATTCCGGTGGTCTCATGGGCCCCGCAAGCCACTTACTTTGTTGGCCCCAGTCTCAGGCAGGTAGACTGCACGGCAGACCTCCCCTCTCCAGCTTTCTCCCGCCATTCCCCTGACCGTCCCAGAGTGCCTCTTCACTTCGACCAGCAGGGTCACGGGGATCGGCACCCAGCCCCCCAGCCCCCTCCTCTTGAGTGTCTGTCTCTGTTTGTGCAGGAAACTGGCAAACTTTCCCCCTTACCTGCCAGGTGGGGGTAACGGGGAAAGTTTGCCAGTTCTAAGCTGAGGCTAATAATCATCTTGCATTGAGGCCGAGTCCATGGAAATGCGAGCGCTTATGTCGTATGGCCCGTGGAAGGGTCCAGAGAGACATGTGAGATCAGGGGTCTCCAGTGCGGTGCCCACGGGCAGTGTGCCGCCTGCTGACGCCTCCCCTGAGTCTTGCCAAGTGGTTCTAGCAAGTAGGCAGCAGGGCCAGGTGGGGCTTTTGACCAGCAGGGCTTCTGATTGGCCACTAGAGATCTGATTGGATGTGCAGATTCCAAAAAACCCATAGCTATGGCTGCTGCAGTGCAAAAATCTTTGCTGTGTGGCTGAAGAGAAGCTGCATGTAAGCAGGAAAACATTTTGAAACACTATGTTCGTTTTAAGAGGCAGCCTGCTGAGCCGCAGAGCTTCTGTCCGACATGTCAAAGAGTTATTGTTATGTGTATAGGCACATAGTAGGCACATAGATGAACAAAACCTATTGAGGCAGACTCAACATGGGTTCTGTAAGGGAAGATCTTGTCTCACTAACCTGTCAGTGTTCTTTGAGGGGGTGAACAAACATGTGGACAAGGGGGATCCAATAGATATTGTTTACCTTGACTTCCAGAAAGCTTTTGATAAAGTTCCTCATCAAAGGCTCCTAAGTAAGCTCAAAAATCATGGGATAAAAGGACAAGGATCAAAAACTGGCTAATAAATAGAAAACAGAGAGTGAGTATAAATGGGCAGTTCTCTCAGTGGAGGGGGGTAAGCAGTGGAGTACCGCAGGGATCAGTACTTGGTCCACTGCTTTTTAACTTGTTCATTAATGATTTGGAGTTGGGAGTAAACAGTGAAGTGGCTAAATTTGCGGATGATACGAAGTTGTTCAGGGTGGTGAAAACCAGTGAGGATTGTGAGGCACTCCAAAGGGATCTGTCAAAGTTGGGCGAGTGGGCGTCAACATGGCAAATGGGGTTCAATGTGGCCAAGTGCAAGGTGATGCACATTGGAGCCAAAAATCCTAACTATAAATACACGTTGATGGGGTCTGAACTGGCAGAGACAGATCAAGAGAGAGATCTTGGAGTTGTAGTAGATAACTCACTGAAAATGTCGAGACAGTGTGTGACTGCAATAAAGAAGGCAAATGCTATGCTGGGGATTATTAGGAAGGGTATTGAAAACAGATCAGCCAATATAATAATGCCCCTATATAAATCAATGGTGAGACAAGGTATAGATAGGGACTCTGGGGCAAGTGATGCTCTGTCATCTTGGTGCTTGGGGGGGGTGTCAACAGTGGGAGGGCTTCTAATGTCCTGGCCCCACTGGTGGACCTCCTGATGGCACCTGGTATTTCTGGCCACTGTGGGATACAGAGTGTTGGACTGGATGGGCCTTTGGCCTGATCCAACATTGGCGTCTCTTATGTTCTTATGTATACCCCTCACTCCCTGTCATCGTGTGGTTGGCTCCACCTCCCACGGCAGCAGCCGTTTTGTGGTTAGCCCCACTGTTCTGTGTCAGGATTCCAAAGGTGCCCCCAGGCTCAAAAGTGGGGTGTGGGGGGGGGCTTGGGTAAGTAGTGGGCTCCATGGATGAGCAGGTTCGAGTCTAGCGATCAGCTCAACTTTATTTGTGATAAAGAGCAAGACAAGACTCCAGACCCTCAGCTCTGTTAAATAGCCTGCAATTGGCTCACCCACACCCCACTCCCAGTGACAGCCTATTTACATAACATTACTACTAGACTGGCTACTTTCAGAATCCTGGCAGGCTATTGTTCTTGTGCTCCAAGCTCAGCCAGTCTCTGGGGTGATTCAATCGAGGATGATTCAATCCCAATACATAACAGGCTAGGTGCTGTGGAAAGACACTTGGCCTCTGCCTGGTTCCGAAAGTGGTTGGCTGCCTTGTTCCGAGGAGGTCTTGTGTGTGAACCGGCCGGGGCCCATTTTCTAGCAAGCCGTGCAGAAGATGCGTAGTCTAGAATGAACAGGGCAGTGTAAGAGAGATTCAGGGACACGAAAGGACAGCCTCCCAGGGGTGGCTCGCCATTAGAGACCCCACTGCTTTGCCTGGAGAAGGTCCTCAGTTCAGTCCCACCCACCCCCGCCCCCGCCCTGGTGAAAAAGCGTCAGGAGAGGAGGGGCTGGCGCACCATAGACGGAATGGGAGGCTGACTCCCGATCCTTCAACCTTGGGTGTTCACAAGCAAGCGAATGGGTGGTTTCTACAGCCAAGGCGGCGAGTGCTTTGGGCACCAGCAGGTGGGGCAGGCAAGGCAGGTCTACAGGTCCCCCGCATGGCCATGCAGCCAGTGAGCCGCACAGTTTGAGCAGTGGAGTTAACCACCACAGCCACAACAAAACACAAGGCTTTTAAAAACAGTCACCGCAAAGAGCAGCTCTGTGCACCAGAACTTAGGCCTGCGTAAGCACCAGAGAATGTGCGAGCTAGGGACAACGCTCCCTGCCCTAATAGAGACCCTGTTGCTGAGGATGCTGTGGGTTTCGGGATGAGGACCCTTCATGCAGAGGGGAAGTACTCTGCAATGCTCCCTCTAGGCTGTGGAGTCTTGTGAGCAAAAATCCTAGTTTGTGAGCTCCTGGCATTGAAGTTGTGAGCGAGCAATTTGGCTCCTGCATAAATTAGTTTGCTCTGGAGCCATCCTTCCTGAGCTAAGACAAAAATGTGTGAGCTGGAGGCCAAAAAACTGTGAGCTATCTCACACCAACTCAGCTTAGAGGGAACACTGGTACTCAGGTGGCCCCCACCCACCCAAAGTGCTAGACTTTTTTGATCCTCGAGGCAGCTGGCACAGGAGGGGATGCTGAAACCAGTCCCTGAGTCCACACTGACTGTGGCCGTCATTCCAGTGGGGATAGTCCAGGCAGTGCGGAACAAAACCACGCTGAGGACCACGAGGCACTCTCCAGTGGCATCGTCAGAGGCGTTGGCATGGCCAGTGGACCAGCCCAAGGGGAGCTGGGCAGGCATTTACCGTGGACAGCCACTGTTTTCCCAGGGTTTTCCCTTTGCTTTTTTTTTTTTAAAGGGATTACTATTGTGCTACAGTGCAGTAATGCTATAACGACAGGTTGCCATGTTCCTCGCCAGCCCTTTCTGTTGCAGAGGTACCGTGGGAAACCAGACATTCTGTTTCTATGCAGGGGGGGGGGTGTTTCAAGGCCAGTGAAGAGGGGCAACAGGCCCAGGGATGGGTGCCCGAGCGAGGCAGCAGCCTGCTTCTGGTCAGCTGGCCTGCCTGCCTCGGATCCCTCCTCCTCTGTCAGCTGTTGCCGCAGACAGACACAGGGGGGAGTCTTTGGACGCTTCAGAGATCTGCAACTGTTCTGGGCTGCTGAACTCGTGCAGATGCTGCCCTGACCTGGCCACTGTGAGAGACGGCGGAAAGCAAGTGCAGGGAGAAAGAGCCGCAGTCTCAAATCACTCAGCCTCCCAAAGAAGAAGGTGGGGTTGTCAAAGGTGCAAACTTTGTCGGGGGGGGGGGTGTCTCAGGGGTTCAAGCCCCTCCCCCAGATTTGGCACAGGGGGCTGAGCCTCCCCCGGGGCAACCAGTGCCAGGCAATATTGGCAAAGGCACATGAGGGACTCTGTCACAACGGGTGGCAGCTGAAGCACAGGACTGCCCCCCCCCCCTGGCATCATATCACAATTTCCATGACTCTTTGGGGCTTTGTTCCTGTTTGCTAGCATGTATTTGTGTGTTCACTAAGAATTTATAATTAAAAAGGAGTTGTGGTTTATATAAACAATGTGCAAATAAATGTTACAGAAGATTTAAGAGACTCTGAAGAAAGATACATGATTTTGAAAATTAGGTTCCCGGAAGGCAAGGTTTACACTCTAGCAACAATATAGGCCTCAAACAATGCAAGAGAAAAATGTTATCCAATCCATTTTAGATTTTCAAGAAGGAGAGATACTGATCTTCGGAGACATGAATGGGGTAATGGATTT